TATTACCATGAACACACACACACTACAGTGACCAGCTGTCTATTACCATGAACACACACACACTACAGTGACCAGCTGTCTATTACCATGAACACACACACACTACAGTGACCAGCTGTCTATTACCATGAACACACACACACTACAGTGACCAGCTGTCTATTACCATGAACACACACACACTACAGTGACCAGCTGTCTATTACCATGAACACACACACTACAGTGACCAGCTGTTTATTACAATGAACACACACACTACAATGACCAGCTGTTTTAGGAAATTACTGAGATCTTTTCAACACACAAGGCAAAAACATAGTTCTTCGGGTCATTTTACATATTTTATTGTATTTTGCTTCTATATTTTTGGATTTATGGAGATAAAAAGTGATTCCCTTTATAAAAACCTTTGACTCTAATATGACGACAAAATGAAACAAGAATGTTGAACCTCTAATGTTTACATCGATGTTCTGGAAATGTATGAAAATTAGCTCATATTTAATCATATAATGCTTCATTTGCATAACATTACATTTCTAAGAACTTGTCTTAATGTAAATAATCAACTCTCTCAGTTCATCTCGTCTCCCCTTAAACATGAAACACTGAGTCTTCTTTAAAGAAGTGGAGCCAATGGGCTTATTGGAGCTGAGAGCCACAGACAGCAGAGGAGTCACAGCGATGACAGACGGACTCACACCTTGTTGCTTTTGGTCTTTTCATGAGATTTGATGACACTATCAGATATATTTTAAGTTTTCCTTTCAGGTTTAGGAGGTTTAGGGTTTCTGCTGGCAATAATTCACCAAACAGTGTTCCTGGTTTCCATACGAGCTGTATGAGTAGTGCCTACATTAAGAAGAACAGCTATGCTCTATAATAAGAGCTGTATGAGTAGAGCCCACATTAAGAAGAACAGCTATGCTCTATAATAAGAGCTGTGAGTAGAGCCCACATTAAGAAGAACAGCTATGCTCTATAATAAGAGCTGTGAGTAGAGCCCACATTAAGAACAGCTATGCTCTATAATAAGAGCTGTGAGTAGAGCCCACATTAAGAAGAACAGCTATGCTCTATAATAAGAGCTGTATGAGTAGAGCCCACATTAAGAAGAACAGCTATGCTCGAATGTGTTTTAACGTGTTGCACAGACACTATTTTAAAGCTCTTTCATGGTTTGACCCCCATTTCCAGCAGACCCCAGGCATCCTATGAGAGCGCTGAACCCTCTCCGACTGGACCCCCCCCTTCACCCCAAGCCCATCCTCCACGAGCACCCCGTCGGGCCCCTGCCGCCCAAACCTGCCGTTGCCGCCAAGCCTCCGCTCTCCACCCCGGCTTCCCCGGCAGGAGCGGGAGCTCGTCCCTCCTCTGCTCCTCCTGCCGGCGGCTCAGCGGGGAGAGTCCAGCTCAGAGCGCCCCCTCATGACAGGAGGCCAGCGGAGAGCACAGCTCAGGTAACCCAGCAGTCTGTCAGGGGACACTATTCACACCTCATTTACTTCTTTAATATCATCCACAAACAACACCAGCACAAGCGTCATGAATATGTGAGGAAGCCAATGAGGTTACTTCCATTTGTTTGCATCTTTACTTGATTGATAAAATAATTCATATATTTAAAATGTACAGTTAAAAAGGTTAAAGATTATGAATACGGAATCATTTCATTTCTTTATAATGTGAATGGCGTATTATGTACGGTGACTAGTACGGGCCACAAGATGGCGGCAAAGTTTACAGCTTCTTGTCATCTCCAGGACACAGAAACAGATCGTTATGGCACAATAATGGAAAGCGCTTCCTCATCATCTTTGTATGGAGCAGATCTAAGAAAACACAGTGATCTTCATTAGACACATCAATCAAACTAAAGGCCTGTGAAATATCACCTGCACCCAGAATGCACCTGTGAAAACCCCTGTAACCAATCAGATCCTTTAGAAATCAGAGGCTGAACCCTCAGGATTCAGGTTTGCTTTATGGAATTATGTTACAGAATGATACAGTTAATGTCTCATGTTCCAGGAGGTAACCTAACATTAAGGAAGGAATATCTTATACATGTATCCGGTTGGGGATTTAATAATCCCAGTACTGATGTCAAAGTAGTAGATGTGGAGATTTAGGTGAATATAAGAAAGATTGTTATTACACATCTCTGTAATCCCTCTGAGCAAATCAGGATTGAAGAATGAGAACGGCTTGAGCAAGAAAACCAAGTGATTTCAATCCTCACATTATGAGGGGGAGGGGGGGGGGCAGACTACAGTTGGCAGCTAATAGTTTCCAGTCAATCAGCTGGTGCTGGTTACTGGGCGATATCAAGTGATAACATAAGTATTACCTCATATAGTTAAGTTTGATACAAACACATGAGGTAGGATAGATATGTGAGGACGTATAGAAGACATCAATGATATACTGCAGCTATAACAAAGGAAACGCAGCAGAGCGGAGAGAGGTCAGGTGGTACCATGGTGCAATATAGAGTATTCTCAAGCAATTACAAATAAAAACATTGGTTAGAGAATGTATCAGATTATGTAAAAGCTTAAGAGCATTTTCTTTTTATGACATCATTGGCAACAGTCACTATGTTACAGGCATGACTTTAACCGTCACATGTTTGTTTGGGCAGAAAGTAGCCTGGAAATGTCAAATGAATACACTTAGTGAAAATACAGATTCATGACAGACTCCTTATGATACACAACACTGTTTGAACAGTAAATACACAGTCAATGTGAGGAGCTGCTGACACACTTTCTCAACAATTTCATGAGTTTTTTGTCCTGAAAATCGATGTGAAATGAAAGTAGAAGGTAGAATACATATTAGAAACCCCTCTCACAAAATAATACAAGTCTACTCCAACCTCCTAAAGCACCGTAAGTTGATTGGCTCACGAAGGAAGGATTTATTTATTGGTTGCAGGATTGTTGGATTAGCGTTCTGTACATACAGACTCGTATCAGTGCTGACGGAGCCGTCATGTTGCTGTGTCACGGTCCACTGAGCTCCCTCTGATCTTCATCCCCAGAATGGGAGCCAGGAGCGTCCCCAGGGCGCCGCCTCGACTCCGTCCTCCAGGACAGAGCTGCTCCCTCCAGCCTCCTCTCCATGGAGATGTCCCGGTGCACAGGATCGCTCAGAGAGAGCACAATCGGTGACCGACGGTACGTCTCGTTAAAACCAAATAATGCATCAGAACTAAGGTTTGGGCTGATGTGTACTACTAGAGCAGTGGTTCTCAAACTGTGGGGCGCGGTGGTATTACAGGTGGGGCGCAGGGGGAAATGCGGAATCTTTTTTTTTTTTTTTTTAATTTAAGTAATTAATAAATACATGGTGAAATGCCTGTACTTTCGTGTAAATGTTTACGTTACGCCGTTAACAGGTTATGCTTGCGCATACGCGACGGCCATGATCCTTGGCGACTCACATGTGTGGCTTAGTGTTCCAAATGAAGAGACATTTGGCAGGCGGGAACAGAAAAGCAGCCGCAAGCGATGCATCCGAGACGAACAGCAAGCAGCCAAGAATAAAATATGATGACGCCTATCTTGCTCTGGGTTTCACAGTGAACGCGGTAGGAGATGAGAGACCAGTCTGTGTTTTATGTCTGAAAACTCTAGCTGTGGATAGTATGAAACTTGTTTTGTTTAGTTTTTCACAGGTTGCACTTTATTGTTATCTTGAAAAGATGTTTAGTGCAAAACAGGTTAATTGCAGCCAATTGCAATAAGCTATTTTTTGCCAGATATTAGTTATTTTTTGCACAGATATAACTTTATTTGCATTGTTCTAACAAAGCGATTGCACATTGTATTTGTTTTTGTTTGATGGAGCGATCTGGTTTACTTAAAAGCGATTGCAATTTTCTTTATTCTATTATTTGAAAAAGCACAGACGGAGGAGTCACAAAATGTTATTTCAATAAAAATTAAACATGGACCATTTTGTTACAATTTTGTTGGGGCGGTGGGGCATGAACACTTTTCTTCTTCCAAAGTGGGGCGCGACAGAAAAAGTTTGAGAACCGCTGTACTAGAGGAACATCAGGTGTGGTTCAGACGAGGAGTAGAGGAGGATCCTCCGTATGATAACACTCAAGCGTTTAACATCTAAGGGTCTTTATCACCTTTCGTAAGTTCAACATTTAAAAGCCACTTTAATAGCTGAAGAAAAGTTGATTTAACACGTGTTAAATCAACTGTGTGTGTACCTCCAGAGAGTCTACCTAAGCCACGCCCACACGTGAGGCCCCTCCCACAGCGCAGAGCCGTGTCCGTCCATGAGGACGCTCTGACAATGACACAAGGTGAGGCTTTGTCTTATTATTGATCAAAGACAATGAATAGAATCATAACCGTAAGGGAAGGAATATAAAAACAATGTAAGATCAAACCACGAGTCTGTGAAAGGTTAATGAAGAGATTCACACATTCAAGTTGGGAGAACGTCTCGACTACAGCAGAAGATTAGAGAATTTACTGCTTCTTGAAATGTGGGCAAAAGAAAGAGGCTCCAGGTACCTGAGGTGTGGAGGTCAGGTTCATGAGAGGTTAGGTCCTCAGGGTTCCATTGGGTCATGGTCTCTGAAGACCCACGTTAGAATACTCATCATAAACTACAACATGACACTTGGCCTCAAGCAGGAAGTGATATAAGAACAGATTTGCTCTTATTTTGTTAGTATCTTTATGTGATTGGATTATTAAAGAAATACTATTGGTCCATTGATCCTATTCTTACTGTAACACCAGTACTGATGCTGTTTTATTTAACTGAACCTCGAGTTCTCTACTGCTCAACTTCTTCTTCTTCTTCTTCTTCTTCTTCTTCTTCTTCCAGCCTTTTTTTGGTGGCAGCTCTCCAATGCTTGGATATGAGCCAGAGTGTTTGCACACGGCACAACAGCTTAAATAGTGTTTAGGTTGCGTTGTAATAATAGCCAACAATCCGCCACATGCCTCCAGTTTATGATCAAGTGGATTCATCATTAAGAACTCCTGGTGAGAGCAGCTTTAGATGGTTCAGAGTATTCGGTGCATCTGGAGTCCACTCTTTATCAGAAAATAGAGGAGACATTTCAGAGAATGTTGCAGACCTGATGTGGGTCACAAACAATACACACTAAAACAAAGGTCACAACCTTTCTGGCTTGTGACCCTTTACAGTCAAGCAGGGTCTACTTGTGACCCACTGTCATCGGTTTCATATGCTGTTGATGCATATGCATATGCATATGCAAAGAGGGAACTTTGTTCTACACAATAAAGATACAATAATTCAGTTGTTCACAAGAGAGCAAGCTGAAATATCTAAATGTAATTTAGTGTTCTGTTTCCTATCCTGTTAAACAACAACCCCTCAGGTTTATCCTGCGGCCCTTTGGGGGGCACCGACCCCCATGTTGGGAACCAGTGAACCAAAAGACACGTGTCACATGTGTACTGGCTGAATCCAGAAAGACATACAGAGCTGTCTCTGCCGACACTTAAAAGCTGCGAAAAGATGGAATTCAAGTTTACCACAGCGTCTAACCCTAACCCCAACCCCAACTCTAACCCCAACCCAAATCCCAACCCTCTAACCCCAACTCTAACCCAAACCCCAACCCCCTAACCCCAACTCTAACCCCAACCCAAACCCCAACTCCAACCCCAACCCTCTAACCCCAACTCTAACCCCAACCCAAACCCCAACTCCAACCCCAACCCTCTAACCCCAACCCCAATTCTAACCCCAACCCTCGTCATGAAGAATCTGAAACAAACGGGCACATTTTGTTAATTTATACATACTGATTTAATAAGTCCGGATTAAAGACTAACTCGTGGTCTCCAAGACCCTCAAGTCCCTCTATTTGTCTAAATCTCTCTCAGAGCTGAAGGCAGTGTTACAGAGATCCCCCATCCGATTCCGTGGCAACAGAGGAGACCTGCCCACCTGCACCGAAGATCCATCTAGTGGGGAGGAAGCAAAGAAGAGCTCAGGTAAGAGAGGGGAGGAAGCAAAGAAGAGCTCAGGTAAGAGAGGGGAGGAAGCAAAGAAGAGCTCAGGATCTAGTGGGGGAGGAAGCACAGAAGAGCTCAGGTGAGAGGTGTTTATAATGCTTGGAATATTTCTTATTCTTTGATTGATTGTTGTTCTTTGGTTCTTCATCCATCCAGCCGGTGACACAGGGAAACAGACAGCTGAGGACAGGAAGGAGGCTGTCCAGAAGGAGGAGCTGAAGGCAGAGCGAGGAAGGACCAAGCACCCTCCTCCAGGAGAAGAGGAGACCCCGGGCTCAGGGCGTCCCTCCTCTGCAGAAACTTCAGCACCCCGAGTCTTCAGTCCGACCGCAGCTCGGTCCATCCTGGAGAGGCCTCCGGCACTAACCCCGAGCCTGGAGAAGAAGCCTCCTGTTCCCCCCACGTGGGAGAAAAAGAGCCCCAGCGCGGCCCCACCGTTGCCCCGAACTCTAGAAAAACTGCTGGTATCCCCACCACCCCGAGAAAAGAGCCTGAGCACAATCCCATCCGGATCGCCGGAAAACCCCAGAGTGAGCCCTCTGTCCCACAAGAAGCAGAGCCCCGGCACAGCTCCGGGCACAGCGGATGTGAGAAACAGCACTCAGGAGGGAGGAGAGGCGGTCTCTAAACAGCACACAATGAAGGCAGAGCCAGCAGACCAAAGAACTGATTCCCCTCTGTCTGAATAACACACACACTGACTGACACCAGGAGGCCTGGGAGAGAGAGGAGCCAGGGGTCTGTGACATCACTGAGATCAGGAAGTACTAGGTCTGAGAACAGCTGTAAAAGTGCTGCTGTGTCCCATGCCAGGGGGGTTCTCTTTGAAAGCTAAACGTGATGTAGTGCACACGGTTGGTGCATTTTGTTGTTGCTAGCTTACAGCTAACGTCTGCTCTACTGGGTGAATAACCACGTACTGCAACGTGCCCAGAACAATGAAAGTTGAATCGATTCATTCTGAAAATACATGTTTTTTTATTGATTAGGAGTGCCCAACCGCAGCCCCTGTTTGTATGAGGCATGTATTATTCGTACTAATCCGACCGCTGGGTTCTTATTGCAGTCTGTGCTTATTTACTCCAAACAACAAAGCTAACGGACGTTAGCTGCGGGGGTAGCATCACACCGTGTGTTTTTTGTGTTGACAGCTCATCTTCTGACTATATTGTCATCTCGTCACGTTGATGAACTGGTGCCATGTAAGGGGACGTTCACATGTCATTTTTTTGCGCCGTCAAATTCATTGTTGTCAATGTAGACGCCCAAAAAGCGAGAGCGACGCTGTCGCTTTTCAGGGCGCAATGGCAGCGCCCTGAGATTCAATTTGTACTTGCGCTGCAGCGCACCGCACGTCATGTGACAGGGAATGACCAATCAGAGCTTTTCTTTCTTCTGGAAATAACAGTCTACGGGAAATTAATAAAAGAGAAGTTAATCATTTTAGCAGGCGGCAACCTACGGTTCTTCAGAGTGAAGTCAAAGCTTCATGTGTTGAAGCTGCGTTCTCATATACAGACTGTGCATTTTAGTTCAGAACTATTTGGAGCTTTACTATCCACCCAAAGAAATATTTGACTTGCTTCACCCTTCGACTGTACATAAGAAGGCTTCACTCTGCCGACCAAGGAAGTCACAACATCCGGATGAAAGTTCAGCCAAACTGAGAATCAAGCAGTAAAGCTACCGTGTGGTGCTGGGAATCCATATCTGTGTTCTGACTCTGTTTAGTTTAGTCAGTGAGGTTTGCTCCGGCGTTTCCATGCGGTTTTGATGCAACATGTGAACGGCCCCTAAAAGCTGCAAGACAAGCAGTGATTTTTTAGCTCAAGTTTAAACATGTTTATGAAACAGGACACAGCGAGCTTCAGCTAAACCAGGATGTAAAGTCTTTGCTGTACGCTCTCCACTAAGGGGATGGCTCATCTCAGCGTTTGTGAGTGTCGCTCATCATCATGTCAAAGACACTTTACTGTTTATCACCTGCTGTTCTACATGTTGTCATTATGATTTGATGGGGGGTTTCACGGCCCACCATGTTCTTCTGTAACTTTTCACTTTGCTTCTTGAATTCTTTGTTCCCCAGAAGACGAGACATATTTCATTGTGACTTAGATTGAGTGATTGATCTACATTTAGACATAAATCTGTTTTGCTCCCATTCATTTTTAAATTGGGGATTTCTGGAAAGTGTTAGAATTGTTATGACTTAAAATTTTGACTACATGATGTTTTAAATCCCTCTTTTTTTAATCATTGGCTGTTTGCGAAAACATTGTTTTGTTGTTTTGCCCCACACCAATCACTGTGACATCCACCCACTCAACATGGTTCATTCTGTTAGCGTTAGTGTTAGCCATCAACCGCTAGTTTGTATTCTGTTAATCAAAGTCAACAGAAGTGAACTGCTCACTGTCACTACTGAGGTCCTGCTTTTCATAAAGATAGAGACTAGCTCCACATGAGATGAGATGTCCACTATGCTGCGCACACATTGTGTAAAGTGCATGAATACTAGAAGTACAGTCGACTCATTTCCTTTCAATGAACATGAGTGAGCTTTAGATAAAGGCGCCATCACGGCAAGATCACGTAACGTTCCATAAGACGGGACCAGTGTAGGTTTATGATACTTTTATAACGTGAGGCGGTGGTTTGTTGTGCTCTTTCTGTCTTCCCTGATCCATATTCATGCACACCAGTGTGTCCAATGAAGCATGTATCAGGATGTCCCGTTAGCTCACTAAGAAACAGACGGGATGTGTGGCAGGAAGTCATAAAGAGACGGCACTTTGTTTTATCATAATGTAGTTTTGAGCAGGAATCCAAATCAGAACCACTTCATTGCCAAGTATGTGCACATACAAGGAGTCTGGCTTGGTGATCGGTGCGTGACACTGAACACAGTGCAATAGTATACAATTTAAGAATGAAGAATAGACAATGATAAAGAAACAATATTAGAGTGTTTTAGAATGAGTGTTACCACTCGATCGCTGTAGTTCTTCAGGGCACAGGTGAGACAGAAACTTGACAAGGAATGAATCAGATATTTGTGTTTGTGGACCAGGTCCATCGGCTCCATCCAGCACACACGATGTGAGGTGGCTGCAGGACCTCAGTAGTGCACCGGGACAGTTCCTTGTCATTGTTTAAGCTCATTGTTTATCCTCCGTTAAGAAGGAATCAACATTACACTTTGAATACCACTTCCTGGTGAACTCCAGGTCTCTCAGAACCAACAGGTAGAACAGTTCAACAGCTGTCTTATGTCCTCTCTTGGCACCATATTAGGCGCACTTAGATGAAGACTGGCTCAGCTGTTTGTTTCAGCGAGGGAAACATCCAATCACAGAACAGCACAAGACCTTCTTGTAGCACAGATACTGAGCTACATCGTGCTCAAGGTTTCATAGACGTTTCTAACAATGCCTCCCAGTGTTCTTACACATGCTGCTGTTGCTACAGAGAGGTGAGGTCGCTCCCAACATCTTGATACAAAATATACATAATTAAAGAAGTAAGCTCAACTTTTGGTTATTTTCTCATGATTTGTATACATTGAAAATGATGTCAAATCCATTTGCTTAACACAATTTGTAGTCCCATCATGTCATCCATGTGGGAGAATATGTCTTGCCTTGTTAAGACGTCTTTACATTGACCTCTTTAGAATCTCATGGGACACTGGAGCTCTGCATGTTTCTGTGTGACGTTCAAATCAATTCAGGTTCAATCCGTCCGTTACACAAGCGCACATATGATCACCACGTCCATCCTATCACAGGAGAAGCAGAGGATGGAACAGAACCCCAGTATATGATCAGATATCATGTGAGGTCTATCAGACTCAGGGGGGCTGTGGAGAACGCTGTGTGTTTCTAAGAGCAGACCTCAGGTCAGCGGCCTGAGCCTCCGTCTCATCCTGGGGCAGAGTTTATTTTCTACCCTCATGTTTATCTTTGCCTTGCACGCACAGAATATATACAAAACTAAATAAAGCAAACAAAAACAAAGTTATGAACAGAGTGTACATCCTTACCTATACTTGTTAATAATTATTAAAATTATGAGTTGTGTCATAATCGTGTACTCTCTTGTTTTGTTTGATGTCTTCCGAGACGGTGATGAGACTGATAGCACAGAGCCTGCATCAGTGAGCTGTGTGTGAGGTTGGAACATTATTGAACACATTATTGTGTTTTGGGATCTCGACCCAAACTAGAGACTAAAGGTCAGGATATCTGCCAATGCTGCTTTGATTTTGACCTTATTTTAAATGTTCCATCTTTGTAGAAGTGCAATACAAAATGTCTGTCCTGACATTTTATTGGACCTCGGTGACATGTTACGCAAAATATACATTTTCATGGCTTTTCAAGAAGAATATGTCTGGAGACCCTAAAGTTTCCTCCTGCTCCATCTATCAGAACACATGTGTTAGAAGGAGCTGGTCTGTGTGACGTAGGACCAACTCCAGCTGACCAACAACTACCTCGCTGTCTCGCGGTGAGTTCCTGCCTGTCTCGCGGTGAGTTCCTCGCTGTCTCATGGCGAGCCTGTATGTACTCTCATCATCTGAAGCCGTGTAGACCCAGTGCATTCACTTTATCTTGGACTGAAGTGTCCCCACAACAACTGAAGAACCCTTTCTCAACACGGGTCGGTACACAGCAGGATTCTCAAGATCTACCGGTTGTCCTTGAGTCGGGACATTAAACTTGGATGGTGTAAGTTTTTTCCGTTTTTATGTTCTTTACTGTTTATTTTGCAGGTTAGCCTGGTGGAGTTAGTTGTAGCATGTTGTGCGGCTAATGTGGCTAGCTTCGACTGTAACACAGGCTGGAGCAATGCGAGAGTCCATAATCAATACCCTCATAAATGTATTTTAGACTAAGCGTACTTTTCTGAACAATAGAACATACTACTATGTATATATTCATCTTTCAGAATGTGACCGTTTGTGTTTATGAAGCTCTGTTCATTTGTTTTCGTGCCTCAACTCATGGATTTGTCTCATGAGGAAAACTACTTCTTAACACTGCTGTTCATAAAACAGCTTCAAGAGTCTGTAGAAAATGCCACCAAATATCAATCTTTCTTTATTTGTTCTCTCAATCATACAAATACTTTTGATTAGGAGAAGAAACAGAAGCACTAGACTGAGCAGACTGAGATGTGCTGCAGTAGATGAAGTATACATCTATTGTAAATGATTAACTGTTGTATAGTGTCCCATTACACCCTTTCCTGAGACACGGGCCCCAGTTTAGTTTTCTCACACACAGTAAACTACCACAGCAGTGGATGGTTTACTGTGTGGAAAGGTTTTACTGACATCCTGGGATGTTCCAGCCCCGTCTGATTCCCAGAGCGTCAAATACAACATTTAGATTTATTACATTTATTACATTTGCTGAGCACAGACATGCTCCCCAGGGCATCAAACACCTTAATGAGCTTGTTAGCTTTCATGTTGACACCCACTACAGGTTTGCAGATAGACACTATATACTGTGTACTGTAGGTAACATGGCTGTATATTCACTCACATTAAAGGTGTTTAATGTGACAGTTAAACAGTTTCCTCCACACAATGATTTATTCTTAACTATGCTCCATTTCGCTCTTACCTCCTACAGGGATCATCAAAGTTCTACTTTACTGAGGAGCAGCAGGAGGCTCCCTGCTGAGAGGCCTGTTGAATACAGCGGGATGATGGTGAAAGGTCTGGGACAGTCTGCAGATAGAGATACACTCTGTATTACTGCATCAGGCTGTCCTTGGACCTTAACTACGTGTAGGCCTAGTCCACATACATAGGTCGTTTTTTAAACAGGGTTTTTCCTCGTTAGGTAAAAAAGAAAAATCCGGTTCACACAGAAAAAAAGTCTCTGTCCAGATGAAAACGCTAAAACACAATTGAAGCTCAGTCAAGGCCAGTGGGTAGAGTGGGACACACACACACACAGACACACACACACACACACACACACACCAGCGACATGACGCTGGGGTCTAGGTGGTGGGAGTGTTAGATAACATAGAAGCGACCTCCATAGTGCATTCTGGTGCCTCTGTTCCTCAACATGTTGGAAGAGTAACTGTATATTTACATGTACGTTATATGTCAATGTCAGGATCCCTGTCTGACCCATTGTGTGTTAACCTCTGTTTCCCCCCAATCTCCTCTCCTCATGTGTCTGTCATTCCCCTGTTTGTTTTGTTGTGCCATGTGCTTGGTGTTGTTTTCTCGGGCCTGCCTCCAGACACCTCCCATTGCCACTGCCCTGATTGATGCACAGCTGCGGACAATCTGGCTCATTACCCGGCAGCGTATCAACCCTGGTCTTGCAGGCCTGGGTCGTCAGTCCGTATTGTCTTCTGCCTCGGTATCCTCCGCCGCCGTTCCGTAAGTTGAACCCTGTTGTATCTTCCCAAACTAATCTCTCTCCTCTCTGCTACGGGTGTAGAGTACTGGTCGATCTGCGTACTCTCCGGTGTCGAGCCACGGGACATCACACCGTCGATCTGCCTGGCCTCCGGTGTCGAGCCACGGGCTCCACACCTTCACAGACCTTCAAAATAAAATCTGTTACATCGGACTCTGTCTCCTGTGGTCTTGCGTTTGGGTCCTACCCGTGAACTCCCGTGACAGTCAACTCCGGGGAGTTCACCTGAACTCAGACACCCCTGAGAGAGCAGCTGAGGCCAGCCTTTGTTTGGTCACTCATTTGGTAGGCTCCCTTTCTTTCCTTTTATAAATATGTTTAAAAAGCATGATTTTAAGAGTGAACTTGTAGAAACATGATGTATTCTCTCTAGCTGTGTGAGATAATGTTAAACATGTGTTATCTGCTGGATTCATGTTTGCTGAGGGACTAAAACTTGGAGGAATCGCTTCGGCTCACCAACCAAGAAGAAAGGTATGCTTAAGCAGAACGGAGAATGTTTTTTTTTTTTTTTTTTTTTTTTTTTTTATAGGTTTTTAGTCCCCTGAACACTATATTAACATGGTTCTTATAAATCTAGATTCACCTGCATGTCTTCCACTAGGAGGGGACGGTGTTCCAGCCTAGAAAGGTATTGTTTACTCTTACACTGCATGCTTTATAAAATGTTTGTTTAAAGGTTCCTTTTTGTATATTAATGTGTTATAGTTTTAAACAAAGACACTAGTTTTTCCATACTAGATATGTGCCTTTAACAGATCAATTCAATGGGCCACTTTCTGTATATGTTCTTGTGGGCCTTTGTGCTGTGCTGAAGGGGGACCGAGTGGTAGAGCTGGTATCTTGCATGTGTATCTTAACGTGTGGTTTGAGTTGCCTTAGCGAGTAGGTCCATTTGATTTGGGTTCATGTGCAGTGGTTTATTCATTATTTGCCTACATATTTTGTGACAAATTCCTCTTTTTACTCATAACTCCACACTGACCTCCCTGATGGTGCAGTTTAGCCCCACGTTGTTTATTTTCTTCATTTGTTTTGATTTATCTAATTTTACAATTTATTCCAACCCTCCTTTATTATGATCTGCATTTAGGCCTTTGATTGAAACCCACTTGTTGAGTGGAGACGAGTCTTTTATTCATGCATTGTCAACAAAGTCTATATCTTCAGTATAGTCTCTAGTTCCAGTTTGTTCTGGGTCTTGTGCATCGAGTATCACCTGGTCACAATGACAGGTATAGGTGCTGCTGTCCTACTTCTTGACTAACATGGCCAGTATGACAGGCTTCAACTCTGCCACTAGAAGTGTCTTCTTCGGTGCAGCCAGAGAATCCTCCACGTCCACATACCTGTTTCCAGTCTCGTTTTTAGGAGCAAGCCGACGTCCAGTTTCTCAGCAGAGAAAGCATCTTCCTCCTCGTTTCCTTGCCGGGAATCTCACCAGTTACTCCGGGTCACCCTGTGCAGGTAAGAACCTTTTCGGCACCACGCATTCTCCGGCTAAATCCAGCAAACGATCCATGCACACCACAGGGCCGAAAATCCCTAAACTCATACCGGCGTCCCTCAGAGCCGGCTCCTCGTGGCTGCAGCTCCACGCGCTCCGCATTCATTCACTTCAAGCCGCTCAACAATCAAGGTAAAGGCGTTAATCAGCAGGTGCTAGTTTTAGGTGCTGTCCAAACCGTAACATTGTGTAACGTTCCACTTACGAGTCGGAGACAGAGTGAAGTCCTTGCAAGAGGTTTATTAACAGAAACCGTCAACAGTGCCGAGCAACTCCAGCGAACATTATCGGTGTTCGTACAGTGTTTCATCAACTCTCTTCTTCGTTGGTTCCGGTCTAACGACCTTGACTAGCTCCCGACACAGAACAGGTAACCTCCTCCCCTCTGCTCTACCAATCACAGGCATGCACTTTGACTAACGTGTACAGTGCGTCCCGTGATTGGCCAGAGAGAGGGAGGTGACAGCCTGACCCCTCTACTACCAGCTCTTGCTGTACAGGGTCGCTACAATTGTTTCATTTTTCTCTTGGCGTTCAATGGAAGAACTATTACCAATGAACCTACCTTTACCACAACGGGATCTATAAGGCTCATCTTAAAGCAGGGATATTAGAGACACACACAGCTAGGACATATTTAACCCCTCTGTGTCCTAAGAGTATTAGATATGCAGCATTGCAGGCTCACTAGGTGGAACTTGAAGACATTGTCATGGTAAAAGAACAACTTGCAAGGTTCTCAGTACCTTAGTGTAGCCGTCCCAACCCGTGGCATTTATGGTAAGTAACTACAAGTACAGTTGTTCGGGACTGACAAGGTGTCAGTGGTCTCAGTGAGCAAAATATTACCATCAGTGATGGCTAAGAAAACGGAAAATCAATGTAGACATGAAATCAAAACGACAGTTGAAGGGACACAATTGTTCACGGTGATTGAGACGCACACATCCTTAAGATGTGACACATTTAAAGTGTGGACAGCTGAATGAGCTAACAGGACCACGTTTACGTCACTTCAACCAAAACATGGTGGTGCAGCACATGACAACATTCAAATATGACATGAGACAAGTCTGGCATTTAAACACTTTTATTATATATTATACTGCTAATAACATGTTTCAGGTTCTCTTTGCTCTCTATCTTTGCATACAGGCGTTTCATCCTCACTGAATTATGACTTCTGTCTGCAGTTTCACATTTCACTTCTAAAAATAAAACATCTTTATGTAAAACAACAGGCATCTAAAATCCAAGAGTACATTTCATCCACTGTCACAAACTGAAGTACATCTCTTTGGCTAGCTTTCAAACACTTTCCTCTGCTCTCATGTAAAGTAGACATGACACACGTGTCTCATCATGAAGAGTCCCAACACACTGTAAAAGATGGAGGCGGTGACTAGAAGCCTAACCCTGCAGACAGTGAGGTCTGTGGATTATCTGAGTAACAGTGAATCAGATATAGTTTCCTCAACAAATCAAATCCAAACTATCTGGGTTTGTGTTTTGCAAACTGTATTGTTTAATGCTGCAACTGTTCATTAGTTAGTCCTTTCAAACATGCTGGTGTTGAAAGCATACTACAATAAATGAACCATACCAACACAAACCACCTTTTTGAGGCATTTGAGGTTCAGGTTTCGTGTCATTCTGGAGCCAGTAACAGTCAAACCAATGGACACAGCATGTAGAGCTAATGACTGATCCCAGTAACGTCACAAACAGCAAGGGACTGTGTGATAAGGTGTTGAATCTGTGAGTGAACATTGTAAGTAGGGCAGCATTTGAATGTTGGGGCTCTAACTTTAATCCAACAAGGAGCACAGTCGAATGGACCGTACTGATGCGTTGTTCATATTCTCCACCTCTCAGGCATTCATTAGCTCAATGATTTCATTATAATATGGATTTGAACTGACAGAGATGCTCTGGTGGTGTGGTGATGGAGCTGTATACGGGGTCGGTGGGTTCAAGGATGCTCTGATATCTCAGGTTTGAGAGTCGCCTGCCCATCAGGAACCTTTTCATGTGAGAAAAAACTAAATTCATATTTGTGTTAAATGAGTTGCAAAACTTGAGCTGGGAGTTAATTTGGTAATATTAGGTAGCCATCAGCCAATCCCTCAGGAAGTAAGGAAAAGAGACTTTTATATCTTGGAAGACAAAAGAGATCAATCAAGAAACCATACTGTGGAAGTGAATGACTTTAAGATTAAAGTAGTGATTACTTTGCAGCATGAAACAATACAGTTTGCAAAACACAAACCCAGACAGTTTGGATTTGATTTGTTGAGGAAACTACATCTGATTCACTGTTACTCAGATAATCCATGGACTGTAAAGTCTAGGGGAGCAGACATCATGAGACATGAGACATGAAAGCTGCCAATGATCAGAAGGAGCCTCTTGGAGATTGTTGCTTATTTAAGTTGACTGAGGAACAACGTGGGGGAAATGTTCCTCTTTGTGCACATGTGATGGCCTCGTGTAAAGAGGTGTAGCTATCTGTTTGAATGTTAACCTTTACACGCTCTGGTGTTTCTATAGTGAACTGAGATAAACGTCTGAGAGGAAGGAAACAGATCTACACACTAATGGTACTCATTGAACAGTGTTGATAGTAGTTGACAGGATTGCACATAACGTACTCTATGCTCTGTTCTCACTTTGACTAAACAATGCTCCATAACTCGCCTCCATCACAACAACTAACAGCAACGCGTTGGACCGCGTGGCGTGAATAAATAACATAACGACATCGATCTACTCTCACAGGAAGTGAATGTGTTGCCTATGTGTCTGCTAAGCCTCTTCCTCACTGTCTGAGTTAGGTGGCTCCTCTGGAGAAATCTCTCTCATCTTCCCGTCCATACCGAGCTGCATGGGCTGGATCAGATTGTTCCTGCAGGGAGACATGGTTCAAATGTTACTATGAGTGCTGTTCCTGCAGTTTATCAATGGGTATGAATGATTACATAGTACTGATGGGCAGGTGGCACTTTGCAGTGTATGAATGGGTGAATGATGACATGTAGTGTTATTATTTATTCATTTATAACAAATAAATTGACAAAATGAACAAAAGGTGTGTGTGTGTCCGTCCTGCTTTTATTGACCTTGACAGTCTGTCAAACATGTGGACCAGCTTCATGGCTTCCAGCTCTTTCTGCTCCTCTGTCATTCCCTCCATGGGGTTGGGCTGTTCTTCTTCTACAACTCCTGTTATTGGGTTTATACTAGAGCAGAACAAGAGACAGAGAAAGATCAAAGGGACAGAACAAAGCTTTGTAAATGAAGCAGCTGATGTGCCTCATTAATACACTTTAATTCACTTGTTTATCCTTCAATAGTTTAGTCCTTAAGGCACAGAGGTCTGTTGCACTGCCTGTTAGGTGGCCATGAAAGGCGGAGCCATTGAGTGCTGACTCCAGGCCGAGACAGTTAAGAGCCTCCAGCGGCCTTTTGGAGTTGTGCCCAGAAGGTCATGGGTGCAACCTGGAGAGGTAGTGGTCTTTTCAGGCTTGGTCAGACCAGAGGGTTCCTGGAGCAGCAGAGGCCTGAAGGATTCTAGTCACAGATGCTCCATTATCAAGCTGTCAAACTTCAGTTTAACTGGGAAAGCTCTTAATTGGGTTACTGTCAAACCTCGCATTCAGGAAGAACAATGTGAATTCAATTCTGCTTGTGACATATTGGCTATTAATTCTTTAGAGGAAACTGGATAGTCAGACTTGTGGAGTCTGAGCTCTGGATTTAGCATTCACTTCACCTTACACGTACCTATGGTGCTTTGGTTAGTGACAATAACATTAGGATACACATGAGTGTCAGGGTGGCTGTGCTCGGCCTTAGAGTTAAGGTAGAACTACTGCTCCTTTGTAGCCAGTTGAGCTGGTTCAGGCCTCTTATCAGGATGCCTCCTGGACGACTCTTTGTGGAGATACTCATGTTCAAGTAGGGGAGACATGCTGGAGGGGTTATACATCTGTATAGTTATTGAAGACCTTCAGATACTGCAGGAAGACCTGGAGGAGGTCTGAGCTACAGTCACCAGATCCAGATGAGCAGGTGGCTGGATCATTGGTTAAACATAAAAACTACAATTGAGTATCCATCAAGTTCATTAGTTAGAGCTACACAATCAGCAGTTAAACACATCAGATAGTGAGTTTCTGTGACACAGTGGGGGTACTGACTGGGCCTTGGCTTCTCTGTACTCCTCTGTGTCAGACTCTTCATCCTCAGAGTAGATCCCAGAGTCTCTGCCCCCCCTCAGCAGTCCTCTGGCAGCCAGAAGACCAGCAGCATTACCGTATCCAGTGTACTTAATGAACCTAGAGACTGGATAGAGCACAGACCATTATGCTACTGTTGATATGGCAGCTTTTCAAGATCAATTCAACAAGCCTTTGGTTGGAGCCATCACCTTAGATCTCTACATCAGCTATCATAATAGTTCAAGACATACTAGCCAAGCTATATATCAATGAGCATCTTAAGTCGTCATTTGATGTGAAGAACCTCTTACATTGTGATCTCTGCTCTGTGATTATTATCCCATTGGAACAGGGTTCGTCATATTATCTTTGATCATTTCACCATAGTTACTTTTGAAATAATGTGAATATGATTGATCAATTGAGAAGCTTGATGTCACAGTGAAACATGGGCTTTAAGTCAGTTGTACAAAAATTGCTATGAATCATTGAAATAAATCAACACTTAGATATTTCCCTCACCACTTTCTTTGCAGAGAACAAAGAGGAACTCAGCAGCACAGTCCTTGACATCAGTGTCGATGCTCGTCATAATACGGACTAGTTTGTTCCTCAGAGCACTGCCCACCTCTGGCTTGTTCGTAACATCACGCAGGGGGGGCAGCACCTACACACACACACACACACACACACACACACACACACCTGAGCCATCAAAACACAATACTCATAATTCAAGTCTTCATCGTGGACAGCCAGTATTTACCTTTGACCTGAGGAACTTTCTGGTCTCTCGGTGGATTCGGGCGCTCTCAGTCAGCAGGCTCAGTGATGGGAGAAGGGTTTCCCTGAGCTTACATCCCTGGGAGGCAAGACAACTTCATTAAACAGGAAAAATGATTTCATGATGACTCTTACCAATCAGCTGGACCACAATAGCAAACAAGTCAGTTTCATCAAACATATCCATGTAAAATAGAGAAATATAGTTTTCGATTGTGTGTTATTTGGCATTAATGTAATGGTAATAATTAGGAATCGGAACATGTGAGTACAATAATTATTTAATAGTGGAAACATCTACGGTTAATCGAATTGTCAAATCCGGACCCGGGTCCGGACCCCGTTGTATCTGGACCTGGAAATAAAACCGATAGATAATAGAGAATTATTACATTTTGTCGGAGCACTTCTATTTTAACCGGCGCAGCTTTTCTAGACTTTACTGCATTCGTTCAGCGGTCCAGGAAACACAGAAACCAATTAGATGTGTATTAAATCACATCACGTGATGCTGCTCAGCCAATCAAATACGTGTATTCTGATCATTTTTGCCCTTGACTTGAGTGAGATAAACACACACAGGAGAGAGGGAGCCAACAGTCGGAGATGATGTTCTCCAAGAACAGAAAAGTGATCAGTGAGACCAAAGAGACCAGAGTCTTTAAGAATGGACGGACTCTTATATGTTCATTCTCACCACGGACAGCTTAAAACCATTACATCTCATGTGTTCAGTTCATAACTAGTATGTCTCATGTGTTCAGTTCATAACTAGTATGTCTCGTGTGTGTTCAGTTTAAAACCAGGACGTCTCGTGTGTGTTCAGTTTAAAACCAGGACGTCTCGTGTGTGTTCAGTTTAAAACCAGGACGTCTCGTGTGTGTGTGTGTTCAGTTTAAAACCTACACCTAGCGACAAAGATTATGCTCCGGCCTTCATTTACCTCCCAGAAAATAAATCTTCCTTTAATCTTGTTCAATCAAAACTTACAACCATGTTTCCTGTAATTAAGGTTATGGTTCATGCCCTTTCAGTAATTATCATCGTATCGGAGGTACTGAACCCACTCACAGAGAGTCTTGTCTTACCCGGTCAAGTGTTTTCTCCATGAATTCCAGCAGCATGTTCACAGCGTCCATGTTGACCCCCATGTACTCAATGGAGCCTTGTTGCACTTTAGGGATCAACAGTACATCCAAACAGGGCAGAGGGAGGTTGCCTAGCAAGTTAACTGTGTGGCTGAGAAAAAGAGGAGAGAGTTGGGGGGCACGTCATGTAAGAGCGACGAGTGTAACGATCGACTAACAGAAAAACAGACGCGTGTTGTCCTACCTGTGGAACTCCTCAGTACGCTCCTCTCCGTCTGCATGGCTCATAAGACAGTGTCTCAGCAGGGCTCCCAGGTGTCTGTACTCTGCTGCCTCTTCCTTTACACACAGATGTTACACACACACATTGTTCACGTGTTCCCAAGAGAACCTTTATCACTGTGAAATGTTCTCTTTTGTTTGTGTGTAACAAGCTGACTAGGGAATTGATTCTTGCTTTGCAGATAATATTCTGGCATATTCAACACAAACGTGTTTGGCTGAATTGTCTCAAGAAGCAGAACTTTCAGCAACTTTGCTATTCCCTTGACTTTTCATCTAAATCCACGACACCACATGACATCTTTGGTTTGGACTGAAACAATTGGATGGATTGCCATCAAACTTTTTGAAAACATTTAAATGCATCTCCACATGAACATACTTTAATGGACCCCCTGACTTTCCTAGATTTATCCAGTACATTTTCTAAAAATCTACTTGATGTATTGGCGCACAACTTGGTTCAGACATTCATGTCCCCCTCAAGATAATCTTCAATTACATTGGTGAGCCTTTGAATATGTATCAAGCTCCATCATCAGGTAAGGGTTTCAAATTGTCCAATACTTTGGTTTATGTCCAAATACCTGCAAAACTAATGACATTCAAATCGGCCTCACCTACAGTTTTTTCTTTTTCTTGTATAAGTAGCATGTACAGTAAGTAATTAAATGTTACTATACAAGCAGGAACAATTCAGGTGGTGAACTTGCTCAACCTTAGCATTGGGATAAAAGCACTACTAGCCTAAATACAGCTGAGGAAAGGTTGGAGACTTTTTGGTGCAACACACATCAGCCACATCTGTAAATTGCATCCGGTGTGTTTTACAGTGAGAAGATACACTAGCCTGGAAGTACCAACACCAGGGGCGAATGTGACAAAATGACTACTTTTCTGGAGAGGCTAGGCTAGGCTGAAATATGACAGTGGCGTACCCTGAAGAGTTGATACACAAAGTAAACAACAGAAATGAGTCCTTCCGTTTTAACATACAGTAAGTGGATTTTAAATGACGTGAAAAGTCATTGGATTCAATGACTTGACAACACAATTCACAATTATTGGTATAATATTGATTACAACAGGCCAAACTATACGAAGAAAAAACAAACTCCCCCAACATGCTTCAGTACCTCGTCGACCTTGCACCTGGATGTGTCAAATGTGATATTGAAGAGTATTTTCAGTATTTCCATGGTTAGCTCTGTCTGCTGCCGGCTCAGTGGGGGCAGTTGTTCCCCCACCTCTAACCCTGCCCTGGCCGTCTCCAATGTATCCGGCCAACACAGACCCAGTGTGGCATCCAACTGGTTGCCTAGGACACACACAGGACAGAAGTTATCAGCTAATGCTCTTTAACTCGGTAAATTTGTACCTTCTTGTGAATGCATGTCTACTTTTGTTTGATTATTTTTCACATGTGTTGTTATAGATTTATCATGAGTTGTTGGACTTCAGATCATCATAGGTGTTAAAGAACCGTCGTGAGCAGGACGGTGAGTTGCCTCTCAGCATTGGTTAGAGGGCAGACGTTGGTTTCCCAGGTCAGTAGTTACACTGGTCTCGCATGAAATGGGTTACCTAGCAGACTGATGCCGTGAAGCTCCTGAACCAGCTGCGCCCTGACGTCCATTCTCAGGGCAGTCAGCAGGAAGGTGATGCGCAGGTCAAAGAAACGCACCTGGACAGAGAGCAGATGCATGGAGACTTGTTTCCTCTATCTGCTGATTCCTCTTCAGAGCATTACTGGATATCGAACCTCAATAACTATTTGGTATGTGTTGCACCGAAAACTATAGAGTACCAACAGCAGGCACTGGATGTCTGTATTTCCAGTTATTCTCATTTGCTGACTATATCTTTTGAGGCAAAGGAGTTGATACATCATTAAATATGAAAACATTCAAGAAGTTTGGCAGATTTTGTTAAATGAAAAGGTTTGAAAAAACAAACATGACCATGTCCTTCAGCTGTAATGTATCAAAAAACATATTTGAGTATTTTAACCAAAATGTGTCGTATTGGCACCTGTGCTGAAAAGTGTAACCCAATCTCCTAAGAATTATGTTTGTATTTAACTAATTTGCAATAGCAAAGATACATATGCAGTTTTTATGGTTATGTTTAGGCAAATCAAACTCTTTGGTTTATAAAGGCAAAAAAAACCAAAAAAAAAAACAATGGTAAAATATTGGGAGACAGGACCAGGTGGTGACATCTGGTTCTTTAAAGTGAAGCCAAAGCTTCATGTGTTAGAGCTGCATTCTCTCTAGTGTCCACCAGGGGGCGACTCCTCTGGTTGTATAGAAGTCTACGAGAAAATGACTCTACTTCTCTCTTGATTTATTACCTCAGTAAACATGAGTTTATGGTCTCAATCTCTAGTTTCAAGTCTTCTTCAATACAGCATGATGTTCATTTAGTACATTATGGTCCATTTAGAGTCAAACAGACCATAAAGCAGGGGATGCTTTAGGGCGGGGCTACACGGTGATTGACAGGTCTCTACCAGAGACTTATTTCTACATCACTCCTCCGCAGTCCAAATATGGTCCCTTCACTAGTTGCAAAAGAATGGCAAAAGTGCAGAACTCGAGCCTTCCAAAACGTAGTCACCAAACCAATGGGTGACGTTACGACGACTAGGTCCCCTTCTTATATGCAGTCTATGGACATGACGTATTTGCTTATTCAATATGTCCCCAAACTGCAATCTTTCCCTAACCTTTGTCAGGTTAACTTTGACACTACTATTTAGACTCCCACATTAAAGCATCTATCTAACTGATGTCCATACCTCATGGATCCAGGTGGGATCATGGCACTGCTTCAGCCTCTCTGCCACACCCTTTATCAGCTGTAGATCTGCTGCTACTGCCTGCAATCCATTCATTCATCCAGCCATCCATCCATCCATCCATCCAAAGATACATTTTAGAAAATTGGCACCAACCAAAGTACATTTAATAATCTGAGGAATTCCTGTCAACGTAGGTATGAGTAGACACACAGCAGACTGACCTGTCCTGTCTCGTTGTGTAGCAGGATGTTAGAGATGGACTTGAGAGACTCAACAATCAATTCCTGGTCAGAGTTCTCTGAAGGACGGGAGGCTTCCTCTGCTGCCTCTTCCCCCTCTCCTTCCTCACCTTCCACTAGGAAGAGAGAGAATGGCAAAGTCAAGCAGCACATATAACCTTTATGTAGACAGCCTTTGGGTTAAGGGTCTTGCCCAAGGACACATCCAGGAGGAGCCGGGGACCAAACAGCCGATCTTCTGATTGAGGGACGACCCGCTCTACCTTTGGAGCCACAGTTGCCCCGTGACGTAACGTATCACAGCCACATGAAGCTCTAGTGTGGTTTCAGTCAGGAAGACTATACTCTTCATGCCTAAGCCCGTAGTTTATTTCCCATACATCTGCCAATCACTCCTCATGCATGCAGATTGATTATTTCCTTGCTGCTGTTGTTCAGGGCTGTAAATCATGTCAGCTGTTTAGATCAGCTGGTCTCTCTAGTCTATAGCACAACAACACAATGACATCGTTGGCCTATCATCTTGCTGCTGTCTCATTTAAATATGATGGTCTCTCTACCTTCAGTGCGTTCATGCTGCTGTTACGCAACCTCCATGACGTTCAGGTTGCTGTTACTCGTGCTCTCCATCAGCCCGGTGTCTGCGTGTTTTCATTACGATCCGACGCGATCGGAAAACGTCCACATACCTGTTTTCCAGTCTCGTTTTTAGGAGCAAGCCGACGTTCAGTTTCTCAGCAGAGAAAGCATCTTCCTCCTCTCGGGTCCCTGCCGGGAATCTCACCGGTTACTCCGGGTCACGCTGTTCAGGTAACAACCTGTTCGGCACTACACATTCTCCGGCTAAATCCAGCAAACGATCCATGCACACCACAGGGCCGAAAATTGTTAAACTCATACCGGCGTCCCTCAGAGCCGGCTCCTCGTGGCTCCTCGTGGCTGCAGCTCGACGCGCTCCGCATTCATTCACTTCAAGCCGCTCAACAATCAAGGTAAAGGCGTTAATCAGCGGGTCGTAACCGGACCGTCTTCTCAATCTGATAGATCTGGTCAGGCTGCTTCGTCAGTAGTTGTAGGTGCTGTCCAAACCGTAACATTGTTTCAGTCTCTTGGCGTTCCCCTGTTCAACGGAAGAACTATTACCGTAAATTCAGTAATAGCGGCGGGCCTCAATGAACCTACCTTTACCACAACGGGATCTATAAGGCTCATCTTAAAGCAGGGATATTAGAGACACACACAGCTAGGACATATTTAACCCCTCTGTGTCCTAAGAGTATTAGATATGCAGCGTTGCAGGCTCACTAGGTGGAACTTGAAGACATTGTCATGGTAAAAAATGAACAACTTGCAAGGTTCTCAGTACCTTAGTGTAGCCGTCTCCATCCTGAGGCACTTATGTTAAGTAACTACAATACAGTTGTTGGGGACTTTTTAAATACCGTGAAGTTTGTTATGGTTGTTTCATGGTTACATTTTCAATCAAACAAAGGGAGGACTTAATGCAAAAAATGACATCGAGGAAAAACTCCATTAAACAGAGGATTCTGGCTTTCAAAATGAAGCCAAAACTGCTGTATTTGGATGTAATGAACACCATTAGTGATATGCAAGTGAAATGTATAGTTTGGTACATGAGAAAATTTTGGAGACCTCGAACTCTCTGTACTAAAACCGCTCTAATTTTGTTCTGCTTCACTTTATCAAAGTGAAACTTTGCAGAGAGACTGTTCACATATTGTGCTATGATTTGGGAGAGGTTTAGACCTGCAGCTGCATCATTCCAAAGAGATAATCATCCTGTAAGGGCTTATTTTTTTTTTTTTTTAGGCGAACCTGAAACTTTAATTTGTGCTGTGTGCCATCTTCATTTACTCTTTATCAGTAACATATATACTGATATCTACACATCTGAACAAATCTCACAAGTGTTCCCAAAATTATTCAAATAGACCTTGTGGTTGCAGAGATATACTCTTTTTAGTATGGTCAGTATAGTCAGTTTTTAAAAGCCTATCTGCTACATTTTCAGTGCTTCCGTAATTGCTAATGTAACCCTCTGATCCAGAGACTGTTTTAATAATACTTATTGAATACGCAAATTACGTAGCCAATCCCGGACTGCGCGCTGTCATAAATATCTGGGGTAGACAGCTCACTTCCTGTTTACATTGGGTGCCGCCGGACAGCAACTAAACAGCAGCGACAGCGATCTGCGTCATAACTAGACCGTGTGGGTTCTCGCACTAATTCTGCAGTCAGCGGTGAGTAGTAAAGGGACTGAATTTAATTTCCAGCTGGCCTAGCATTTAGCTAGCTCCCGCTAGCTTAGCGTTTAGCGGTTAGCATAGCTGGGCTGAATAAATTATTATTTGATTGTAGAGAGTTTTTATTTTAGCCCTGTAATTATTTTGGGTTGTTTCTTTTTGTTTGAGCGATTCATTCTGTACAGTTGTTAAAACTAAAAAACTGTTAATGATTCAAAGTGACATATGTCTTAATATGATGTACAACATGACAGATATTTGTATTTATACTTTAAAGGTTCATGTTCATTTATTATTCCTTGTGACCTTTCTAAGGTCATGTTTTTTTGTGAATGAGGGTTCCGGATCATCCGGAGCACCTGTAAAAAGTTTGGATGGCGAGCTACAAGATGGAGATTTCCTTGGACCCCAATTCCCCTTCCTTTCCACAAGAACTGTGGTAGGATCGAACGCAAAGATCTCAATGAACTGAAGGAATGAACTGAACTGAGACATACGAACTGTATGATGAATGAACTGGAACTTATGAACTGTATGAGGAATTAACTGAACTGACACTTATGAACTTGTTTATTTTTTGTATCTTTTGTTTGGAAAATAATCACAATACAATGCTTGTTTAAACTTATCTGTGACTCTTGGTGGTTCCTTTAAAACAATTGGGCTCCGTAGATGAGCCTAGTATCTAGAAACATTACAACTGGTCCTTAAATTCCTTTTTACTATAAAAGAAGATCGCACATGTTACAAAAGTGGCGAGCTAGCCAGGAGCCCAATATGTGTGGAACCATTGTATTGTGGTCTTGATAAGTTTGTGCTAAGTGATTATTGGTTACCAAGATGGATTATATTCAGCAGTCAGGGGTGGATGTAACAAGGTCTGTGATTATTAGTGGTGTTACCAATACAGAAACGGATGAGGAAATTGTTGTCTAAAACGATATGGGTCTATTAAGAAAATTATTCCAATTGATGATTCCAGCAGTACATATCACAAAAACCTTTAATGGATATCCTGGAAGTGGAGGGGGCTAATGGTCAAGCTGTGCCCTATATGGGTTACATTGAGCTTGATGTCACTTTTCCACCTGAGTTCCTTGGTACATCAGTTGATGTACATACTCTTGCTTTGGTGGTGCCTGATGTTAGGACATCGCAGTCTCCTGTGCTTATTGGCACTAACACACTTGATGTCTTTTATGAGAAATACGTGGAAGACAACCTATCGGTTAATCACCCGCTTCCTTATGGATACAGAGCAGTGTTGAACATTCTGGAATTCAGACATAAACAGACACTTAACAGTCATCATGGCATTATCCGGATGCATGGGAAAACCTCTCAAACTATTCCGGCAGGAAGAACTGTTGTTGTGGAAGGGATTGCAGCTACACACTCTTGGCAGTCAGAAAGAGATGTCATTATTGAGCATCCATCCTCCTTCCCCTTGCCTGGTGGGTTGATGGTCAAGTCATGTCTTGTTGACTTTCCCAGGTGTCAGCCATGTCAAGTGCCGGTTGTCATAACCAATGAATCTGATCATGACATCATCATCCCTGCTAGATCTGCTATTGCAGAGATGAGTGCAATTCAGACTATAATTTCTAAGGAACAATTGGTTACTAACCCAGTTAATTCAGATCATACATCCCCAAAGCTACAGATGAGTTTCAACTTTGGCGACTCACCACTGTCGGCTGAATGGAAAGATAGCATTACAACAAAACTCAACAGTATTCCAGAAGTTTTTGCAAAACATGATCTTGATTTCGGCAGAACTGATAAAGTGACTCACCACATCAAACTTACAGATGAAACCCCATTCAAGCACAGACCAAGACCTATTCATCCCCAAGACATTGACGCTGTCCGTAAACATCTTCAAGAACTCCTTGAATCCGGAGTGATTCGCGAATCTGAATCTCCCTTTGAATCACCTATCGTGGTGGTGAAGAAAAAGAACGGCAGTGTGCGACTTTGTATAGATTACTGGAAGCTGAACTTGCAAACCATCAAAGATGCTTATGCTCTACCTAAGCTGGAGGACACTTTCACAGCACTATCTGGATCCAAGTGGTTCTCAGTACTCGACCTAAATCTGGTTACTATCAAATTGAAATGGAGGAAGCAGACAAACCTAAAACTGCCTTTGTATGTCCCTTAGGATTCTGGGAATTTAATCGCATGCCACAGGGAATAACTAATGCACCGAGCACTTTCCAACGTCTTATGGAGAAATGCATGGGAGAAATGAACCTGAAGGAAGTCCTTGTCTTCATTGATGACTTGATTATTTTTGCACCCACCTTAGAAGAACATGAAGCAAGGCTAATGAAAGTGCTGGATCGGCTAAAGGAGTTTGGCCTAAAACTGTCTTTGGAGAAGTGCATATTCTTCCAACCATCGGTTTGTTACCTTGGACATGTGGTTTCCCGAAATGGTGTGGAAACTGATCCGGAAAAGATTGCTACCCTCACGACATGGCCAGTACCTAAAACCTTGAAAGAACCGAGGTCGTTTCTTGGCTTTGCTGGGTACTATAGAAGGTTTGTAAAGGATTTTTCTGGTATTGTAAAACCTCTTCATAACCTTACCTCTGGGTATCCACCAACACAGAAGAAATTGAACCCAACCATAAAACCAGGACAATACTTAAACCCCAAAGAGCTGTTTGGTGGTCGATGGACATCTGCTTGTCAACAGGCGTTTGAAGCCATAATTCAGAAACTCACTACTGCACCAATTCTCGCTTTTGCTGATCCTCAAAAGTCTTACCTCCTGCATACGGATGCCAGCTCCACTGGTCTTGGAGCTGTGTTATATCAAGAACAAGATGGAAAAGACAGTCATTGCTTATGCGAGCAGAGGGCTATCTCGCAGCAAATTCCGTTATCCTGCTCATAAGCTTGAATTCCTTGCTCTTAAATGGTCAGTGACAGAAAAGTTCAATGACTATTTGTATGGAAATCATTTCACATTGGTAACCGACAACAACCCACTTACGTACCTCCTGACATCTGCCAAACTGGATGCAACCAGTTACAGGTGGCTTGCTGCACTATCCACTTTTTCCTTTAAAATACTGTATCGTGCTGGCAAGCAAAGTGCCAATGCAGATGGCCTCTCTCGCAGACCTCATGGTGATCTGGCGGATGATCCTAAATCTAAGAAAGAGAGGGAGCGAATTGGGAAATTGGTCCAACATCATCTGTCTGACCCTGCTGTAGTCTCTATAGATCAACACACCATTCAGGCTATCTGTGACAGACAGCTCATTTATAGTGCAACTATAGATTCTCATAACGAAAAGCTTGCCCTTGTTCAGTCACTTTCCAATTCCATTGATTCACTTCCTGACAGTTTTGTGAATGACAGTCAGTTTGGAACCTCGATCATGCCTCCGCTTACAGCAGCTGAGATGGCTGTAAAACAGCGGGCAGACCAAACCATCAGACATGTCATATCCCAATTGGAGGATGGAAAGACACCACCTCCTATGTTGACAAATGAACTTCCTGATCTGCCTCTTCTCCTTTGAGAATTAAAACGGTTGGAGCTCCAGAACAACATTCTTGTTAGGAAGAGGCAAATAGGATCTCAATGCACTTATCAACTTGTCCTGCCAGAGGAATTGCGACACCAAGTACTGACCAGTCTACATGATCATTTGGGTCACATGGGAATCGAAAGAACACTGGATCTGGTTCGAACCAGATTCTATTGGCCAAGAATGTCTGCAGAAGTTTACAAAAAGATAACTTGTGAAAGGTGTGTCAAAAGGAAATCCCTACCTGAAAAAGCCGCACCCCTTGTAAACACAAAAACAACAAGACCTCTGGAACTTGTTTGCATGGATTTCTTATCACTGGAACCAGACACAAGCAAAATAAAGGACATCCTTGTAATCACAGATCATTTCACAAAGTATGCAGTGGCCATTCCCACACCCAATCAAAAGGCCAAGACAGTCGCAAAATGTCTATGGGACAACTTTCTCATTCACTATGGAATCCCGGAAAAACTTTACAGTGATCAAGGACCAGACTTTGAGTCACGGACTATAAAGAAACTATGTGAAATGGCTGGAATTCATAAAATAAGGACTACTCCATACCACCCGAGAGGAAACCCAGTTGAGCGATTCAATCGTACACTGTTGGACATGCTTGGAACCCTAACTGATCAGGACAAAACTCACTGAAAGGATTTTGTGAAACCACTTGTACATGCCTACAATTGCACCAAAAATGATGTCACAGGATTCTCTCCTTACGAACGTTTGGACGCCAACCACGACTGCCAGTTGACCTAGCTTTTGGACTACCTGTCCATACTCAACATACATCCCATTCACAGTATGTTCAAGATCTTAAGTCACATCTGAAAGAGAGCTACAGAATTGCAACAGAAAATGCTGAAAAAGTCATGCAAAGAAACGAGGCCAGATTCGACAGACATGTCACGGCCTCTGAATTAGCTGTGGGAGATCGTGTGTTGGTCAGGAATGTTCGTCTCGGAGGCAAACACAAACTTGCTGACAAATGGGAATCTGAGGACTACATTGTTGTAAAGAGAGCTGGTAATCTTCCGGTCTACACAGTCAGACCTGAAAATAGAGCCAGTCCTCTACGAACACTACACAGGGATCTTCTGCTACCTTGTGGATACTTGACTGCCCCAAAAATTACTATATCTGTGAAACAAACCCCCCAAACCAAAACTTCGCTCAAATCATGATCCTCCTGACGATCATATAGATATGACCACATTCTCAGATGAAGAAGAACTAACTCCGAACCACTAGTATAGTGGGCCACCCAGCTCAGAACTTGCCAGATTCACAACCATAATTGGCATTCCAACAGATTATGTTATGGCCCCTTCCAACACAGTCCCTACAACCTTAGAGACCCCACAATGCACAGCCGGTGATGATCCAAACCAAGGGAAGGTTACTCAGCAGCTGGCTGACTTACCTGATGCAGCCAACAGCCCAGAGGGCTCAGTCGCAACAGGAGACACAGAACCCAAATTAATAACCAATGATGCTGCAGATGAAACGGCGTATTATCCTACAGACAATGATTCAAACCTTTCCCTCGACGACAATCTCGAGTTTCCTCTAAGACGTTCGACTAGATCCAGGAAACCACCAGAGCGACTTCAGTATACAAAACTTGGACACCCGGTATTGAATACTATTCAGTCACTGTTACATGAGTTAACTAATGCATTTACATATACTCTAACAGCTACCGAGGGTCCCTCCTGTGTTACACTAACAGTATTGTTTTCAAACAAATGACGTCATGTACTGTATATCGAAGTACTGTCAGATCCATCACATTGCTAATTCTCAGGTCACTGCTGACCTCTTTTGGTTAAATCCATTCAATGTCCTACGAGTGATGTATGATTCATTAGAAGGGGCAGGTAATGGAGACTTCCTGCTTCATCTCTTAGCAGTCCGCACCAACTCACTGACCGCAGAAGACCGCAAAATCCGCAGCCATTCAAGTACAGCTCGGTAAGTTATACTTTCTTTTGGGGGGAACATATCGCTGTGTTACCCTTCTCACTTTTGGGGATTCATATTGTTGCCGCTCAGGGCAATCACAACTCGATCACAAATCTCCTCGTCGTGTTCAAACGCGAGTTTTAAAAAGACTTTTGATTGGTGCATTAATGTGATTCTTTTGCTCCTTTAGTGTCATGGGATTAAGGGGAGTTTCCTGGGAGAAGCCACAAAACGGGAGCACCAGGACAGAAGCCTTTGGATCTAAAACCTGGGAGAGTTGGCAGGAATTACCTTGGCCTTCCACCGGCTGGCTGCGGGCAGGTGTGGCAGTACTGACCACGGCAATGCCGGCGTAGAGGGCAAGAGTGGACATGGCAGAGCGGCTGATGAAGGGCTCCAGGCAGTGTTTGTCTCTGGACAGGATTCGAACCGTTTCTAGACAGGCCAGCTGACAGGAGGGCTGCAGCTCGCTGTCCAGGAAACCGAGGACCAATCCACCCAGAAGCTGCATCACACAACAGAAGACAATATTTACATCTCATAGGTAGATATGAATAACCTCATTTGGAAGTTGAGTCACTTCTGAATACTTAGTTGTTGAAATTCAAATACCCCTGTTCTGAAATATTTTACTTCGAAAACCATATCAAATCTGATATGGTTGCACAAATCTGTTCGTTTGTGCACTTTATTTTAGATTTTTCTGTAAATTTTAAAATGTTTCTACTTTGCACTGTTGATTGTTGTTAAATGTTTACACCTCCCGTCATGTCAAATTCCTTGTATGTTCAACATACCATGGCAATAAACAATTCTGATTCTGATATTTCTTCATTTGAGTTAACTTTAATAAAGTTACTTCCTCATTTAAACTGTTGCTGTGTGGACATCTGGGCATAATATAAAAACTATTATTTCACAACTTAAAGATGCTAAACGCCAAATTCAGAGCATATCTATTGCCTCCACGCGGCTCTCAACATGCCGATGGCTGAGCTAACTGTATATATACGATGGTAACACTGCTGACAGCTAACGTTGTTAGCCATGGGGAGCCGGAGGGTGAGCTTTACGCTTCCACGATGACAGTCGGAGGCGCCGTTATCAGCTTTAACCGCCGTATGAGCGCAATGCAGAGCTAAAGAGTGGGGCACGCTCACATGCACGAACATGGACTTAAGTATTCTGTAGGGATTCACTTTCACAATTAGGTATTCATTTAAGATTCAAATCCATTTATACTTTCGGTTTATTTAATAATAGAAATGCAAGGATGATTATATGTAGCATACCACTACAAGGTAATGAATGACAAATACACCAGGTCACAGCTAGACTGTAAAGGACCACTCAACAGTACATTCCACTGGACAATATCACCACGATACTGTCAAAGCTAAGAGAAAGGAAACGGCAGTTTCATACATCACATAAACTGAAAACTTCCACTCATAAAAGCAGAATTTAAGCTGCTGCCAGTGTCACCATTTCTCCTCAACTAAATATGTTTCATGCTGAAGATGCTCTTTGAAAGGAAATAAGGAGGTTTAACCAAGAACTTTGAATTTTCCTGTTTTAGTAAATACAGTAGTGATCCTTGACGGTCAAGTAGAGATGTGCCGATACCGAGTACCAATACCAGTGTAACTACATGTATATGTATATTTATAATGATATATATATATATATATATATATATATAATTTCACCACCGCCCCAAACAATAACCGTCAATAATTTTAAATGTTACCGTTATACTTTATACTCGCCTATGGTCGTTATTTATATAAAAAGACAATTCAAATGATTAGTAAATAAACCTTGTATTTAAATGTATACAAACAGAACATTCACTCTGTAATATCTATTCTATAGTGCTGTGAAAACATCTCCTTCAAACAACTCCATTCAAGTTTTTACAAGATTACACTTAAACATATGATCAAGATCTAATTTACCTTCCATCAACGCATCATAATGTAACTCAATGCATCCATCAACGCATCATAATGTAACTCAATGCATCCTCCTCACGTTAGCTGCATTATGTAGCACAGCAGGACTGTGCTGCCCACTGGCTGCTAACGGTTATTAGTTAATAGCTAGCTCTCCTACTGCTGGTTTCAACACAGATTAGTTATTCAATATGTAGCATTATCAGAAAACAATAGGGTGTCCAAGTGTTTAACCACAGGTGTATTGTACTAGTTTGCACATGTGCAGTACGGATGAGGCAGGATGTACAGGTCGGGTAGTGAGTGACGCATGTTGTAGTTGTTCCTACAGCTGATAAATGATAACGTGATATCAGATCGGGTATCGACTCGCACACTCGCTGATACCCGATCCAGGCTGTATCAGAGGTGTTTCTGACACTGGTACTGTACTGTAAGGGGCTGAGGGGCAGGGTAATTAGAGGCACCTACACTCCTGACAGAGGGCTCCACCCACTCCCAGAGGACAGCATTGGGATCAGGTGTGTGAAGAGACACACCTGGAGCTGAGTCTATCGCCCCTAGACCTCCAGGGTGTTGGATGTAGTTGAAACCGGTAAGTCGGCTTGTGGCCCGGCTGAGATAGTTTTGATTTTTCTAGTTTTGTAATCGGGTTCATTACATTTTCTGTTTTGTTTGTGAGACTTTGGGTTTGCTTAATTAAAGATCCTGGTAACAGCTGATCTGACTGTCCTTGATTGGTGTCTCACAACATTCATCAGGAGAGTTTGTTCCCACCGTTCTTCTCTTCTCCTGTGTCGGTCCCTGAGGTCCGACTCCTCCATCTGCTCCTCCTATCCAGCTCCCTTGACTTACTGGTTATTAGAAGACCAACGTAGAGCACATATGTTGAGAAAAGATTACCTTGAACTGACTTACTTATTATTCTTATTTTAGTTTTTTAAAATATATATTAGAAAAACCTCAGGATGTGCCCTGAACGATTTGTCAAGCCGAGGGGCAGATCCAGGACTCAATCGCAGATACAGACACAAGAGATGATGTGAAGTTTAAACTTAGGGATCCTTTACTGACGAAAAGGTCAAAAACAAACTCAAAGCGACTCCAATGGAGCAGGCAAAAATATCCAAAAACAAAAGAAAGGCAAATCAGGAGAAAACTCTGGAGCACGGCGCACACACGAGGGCGACGCAATAAAGGAACAGACAGGGAACGAACAAGGACGATCTGACAACCAGAACAGGGAAAGCAGGGGAGTATATATGTGTGGGGTGATGAGGATATTGAAGGCAGCTGGGTGGACTGGGTAGGTGAGTAGGATGAATGTAATCAGGGGAAACACACACACACACACACACAGAGACACAGGAACACACACACAGAGACATAAGGAAGCTAACGGGATGTTACACCATTATTGTCCCAGTAGTTTTCGTTATCTTGTGATAACAACATAATCAGCTTGTTATCTGGAGAAAACCAAAGATTGTTTTCTGTACTCAATCATAATGATGACTAGAAAATTCCTAAAGAAATTTTGACAGTGTGGCTTCTACTGCCAGAAGAAATCGCAATATATACACACGCCAATGTTACCGGTAGTGTCATTCAGGTTCAATTGAGATAGCGCTACTCTCTTTTCTGCATTTTAGATTCATACTCTTGGATTGAATCTTGTATTTGTGGGGCTTTTATTTTGAAAGGGTGGGACTGGGTGGGTGAGAGAGGGGGAGAGGCGACAGAATCATAATGTTTGACACTAAAATGAGAGGCTTCATCACAAGCATTCCAGTTACAATTCATTCTGTGGGGCTTTTAATTTGAAATGGGGGGAGGGGGGGTGAGAGGGGAAAAGTCCTCTAAAAATATCTAAGACCTGAATGACTGTATGATAGAGACACAGAGAGGGAGAGAGAGAGACGGAGTGAGAGAGACAGGCAGACAGACAGTTAGATGGACTGAGTGAGTGGGAGAGAGAGACAGGCAGACAGGAGTCCTCTAAAAGTCTCCAAGACCTGAATGACTGTATGAGAGAGAGAGAGAGAGAGAGAGAGAGAGAGAGAGAGAGAGAGAGATGTGTGTCTCAGTGCCTCTGTGTGTTTATCAACATCACTAATGAGCTCATATAAACACCTGTGTGCTTGGGTGCATGTTGGTGATTGGAGCACCTGTGTGTTAGAGGCTAATTAAGAGAGAGTGAACAGTGATTTCCAACAAAACTACCTGTCAAACATATGCCCTTCATACCAAAACCATGAGACTAATCAATAAAATATGGATACCGTGAGAGAGATAAGACTCTGGCAAACGCGGAGATGTGTTTTTTATGTTTGTGGTGTTAATAATGTGAGCTCAAGTGCAATATGCAAAACTGGTACCGTCTGCTTTCTTTGAGAAATGAGTGGTCAGATTTAACATGGAGTCTAATGGAGCAGTTGGTTGGAGTTCATGTCGCTCTGTGGCTCTTTGAGCCAAATGTGTAAGTCCGTTGGATTCCACAGACATCTGTGTGCGACAGCACAACATTTCCAAGCTTTTTGGCCAAAAATGGTGTATAAAGAGTAAAAATTGTGGGAGCTGGAGCAATTTGTTTGGAAAAATCACAGAAGATTTTCCTGCTCCGCTCCACTCTGACGGTTATGCTCTCACTCTAGCTCTTAACGAGCCGTGCAATACACACCCATTATAAAATCTGAAACAGACCCAAAATTTTCATAAAACTTAATCTGTGACTTCATGAAAACTGTGCTAGCTATCAAAATGTCCATTTGGCTCAATAAAGTGCAGCGTTTTGTCTATGTTTTAAACTTTGAATCATGTTTCTACATTAATGTACGGCTAGTCAATATGGGCCCAAAGTTAAGTGTTTTTTTAAGCTCTCTTCACGCCGAAACCCCATTCAAGTGAATGGAGAAACTGCTCAGTTTTTGGGGATTTTCGGGAAAACTGCTTGGCGAATCTCTCCGAAAAATAGATAGCACACTATTCCCGATCAGGCCGCACTTTTGATGTATTAAGCTCGATGGATAATATACAGTGTGCTTTGGCACAGGCAGTTTTACTGCCTTGTGCCACAAAGCCACACTGAATTAGAGATCAGGAGTACAATACCAGCATGCATGGATGACTGCGGTCAAGCCGTCACTCGCATCTCTGTGGTCAAATGGTCTGACGCTGAAGTTGTAGTGCATCCACGTTCTCCCACTCATAGTAAATGTATTCAATCGGCCCAGATTGAACTGACCACAGACTGTAAAGAAGTCTCTATATAACAGGTATAATATAAAGGCACTGTCCTACAAACAGTCAATGGAGATTTTAGGATTTTGGTATCTGAAGCGTTCTGGTTCCCATTTTTAGTCTGACTAGATTTGACTAATCACGTTTGCTTTGGTTGAATGCAGGTAAACAGTCCGTGTGGAAAGCATTGGTATGACTATGATTTATATTTCTATGAGTTTAAAATGAGCTTGTTAACTGGTTACTTGTGAAACAACCCGGTCGTACACGTCGTCTTTCAACTCCTTTTCAACCCCAATCTAAAGTTGCTAATTGCTCTGGGCAGTTCCAGAGTTGTCCTTCCACTAACTAGCTGTCAGCTCCATGGAGACTTTTCAAACGTTAACATTCAAAATATGTCCCAGCTTAGTAGTCTGAACGTACAGACGGTTGTGAATCCATGTCTGTCCAAAATGTCATCTCTTCATAACTTTATCCCATTAGACTTTTGTCTGAAATTGTCACAATTAGCATATGAATTTTTGAGTTATGGCCATAAACATATTTTGTGAGGTCATAGTGATCTTTGACCACCAAATTCTAATCAGTTCATCCTCGAGTCCAAGTGGACGTTTGTGCCAAAATAAATTCCGTAGAAGGCGGACAACCCAAAAACATGCTGTTGTCTTAAGTTGTAGATAAAGTGGAGGAAGCATAACACAATGCTCATTGCTTATTCATTCATTTCGTAACTTCCCTCCACAAAGCACCGGGCATGCACACACGTGTTCTTTTACTGGTGACTTCTGTGTTAATATAGATGTACACATCTAGATCTTACACATTTTAAGATTTAAGAAATAAAGCTTGACATGTGTCCTAAAAACATTATGTTTCTCTGTTTGATATCCAGATCATTAACAGAGCATCAAACAACTATTTTCTATTCAAAGATGTAGTGGAGTAATGTCTATCTAGGTATAGAATAAGGTGTGTTGTTATACTAGCTTCTCCTTGCTTTGTTGGAATATCTGACCCATCATGCTCTCTTTTACTGCATGTTAGCATGTTAGCATGCCCCACTAGCTAGCTGCGCTCATACAGCGGTGCCCGATGACTGAAGGTGTGGGCGCGGAGGGTTCGCCGCCACCCTCGGGTTAACATTGTTGCTGCTGTTCGCAGTGTTGGGCAACAGATATGCTCTGAATTTGGAATCAAGCACTTTTGAGGAATCTTTAAGAGAAAGGCATCTTAACAACACAGATCATTTACATCAACAGTCAATGAGCAGTACTCGGTGTTCAGATGGAATACCTCTCTGTCCCGCTCGTCGTCCTTGCTGAACGTAAAGCAGTGGTTCATCTGGAGGAAGAAGAAGCAGAGGGTGCAAATAAAGGTGTGAGATAAAGAAGAGCAAAGCAGAAGAAACAGTAAGGACGGGGAAGAGGGAGAAGAAAGAGATAAATGTTGAAGATGTGAGAGCACAGACAGGTTGGTTTGCTTTGGTGCTGCACAGCCTCTAACGGAGGATGTTGGACTGCATACACAGCTCATCTTTTACCAACAGAGTTACTGTCTTTAACTATGTCCACCATGTTTCCCAGACAGTGTAACACAACTCTGACACAGACAGGACAGACAACTTGACACAGTAACACTTTGCGTCAATGGATTTCCACTGGAATGTTTACATGAAACTTTTTAATAAAACTATAGTACTCGCTGTATTCCTGTAGTTGTGTGTTTGGCAGCACAGAATACGCTGAAAACACGACATTCTTATAAAGTCTTGGTGAACAAACAGTTGTACACATCCAGCAGACACAGAGCAACACCAGCCTTCATTCAGTGTAGTGTTTGTGTCCACCTGATGAATGGAAGTCCAATATTCACTCTCCTTTAGCTCGACTTTTGCTTTCCTTTAGCTGATTCCGATTCCACCAGCTCCTGAGGGAACTATCCGTCTCTTTAGCGGCTCAAAGCTCCAACAGTGTCTGTTTGAGGTTTGCTGCTGAGCAGGTAGTGCACAGTGGCTTCATCATAAGATGTCTGCCTGCTGAAGAACAGTGAGCTAAAAGAGGCTAGAAAGCTGTGCAGAGCAGAGGTAGAGATAATTCTCCGTATGCGGCCATCTGATCCGTTGATGAAGTATGAAGTGCTGTCATGGCTGTGGGCTAAGAGCCTTCATGGAATCCATTACAACCATGACACGTACACACCTGTCCGGAGTATCCTGCTTATACTGTACCAAATGCCAACAACATGCCTTTTAAATATCAGCTCATTTAAGCAACTCATTTTGATCTCACTTCTCTGTTTTAAAGATCATGAAATGAAGTTCTTGTCGGTTGCATTGCATGGCAGGTTTTGAAAAAACAAAAAAACAGGAAAAAAATAACCATTTACTGTTAATGTCCCGCTCGCTTCAACAGTACTTTTTACAGTACGTTTTCAGCTATTATTTTCTGTTGGTGTCACCTACCTTTGTCTCTGGCTTCAGATACTTGACTTCCTGTCTGACAGTGTGCCCGCCCTGCTTGTATTCACCTGACCCTCGTTATCACATTCCTTTACTTGTGCCTCTGATGTGTGTGAGCCAGTTCATCTCTTCTGTTTTAGTGAACGTTCCAGTCTTTCTGTCCCGCTGGTTTCAGACCAGTCTTCAGTACTTTGGCTTAGATCTTGTTCTAACAGTTGTTGGATACCTTTGTCTGTTTGTAGACTGCCTCGTCATGTACCAAACCCTTGCTATTAAGTAATTCTACCTGCTCTGTGTTTGACTCTTGCATCGAGTCCATTGTCTGTTTGTAACAGACTTGATGTTTTTTGCTAACAATCTCAAAAATGGTGGAAAGTGCTGCATTCTAATACACAAAAATATAAAAACTTTAGCGCTATTTTAACCTAACCTGTGATTTCCACATCTCTTTGTCTTTACCTGCAGTTTAACATTGGCCCTACAAACAAACAAGTTATACTGTCCGATCACTGAAAGTTAAGCCACACCCTCCAGCCAACAGAAGCCAGAATTCGTAGTGCCCACAATATAAATAAAAAATATTTTATTGGAAAAATAAGAAAGCCAGCGAGCACCAAGTCCAAGCCCCCCCGCTACGGAGGAAATGCACCTGGAGGGGTTCCTCCCACAGAATGCTGGACCGGGTAGATCGCGTGGATACTTTTTACTTTCAACGGGAAACACTAATTGTCTTTTACTAACAATAATCGGTTGCAATGCTGGTGTCGTCAACAATTCTTGATAACTCGTCCCCAATACATTACATTACAGTCGCTTTCATCCACAGCGACCTACAATTCAGATTCTATCACATACACACCGTAGGCACAGGAAGGGAGCACTTTTGGGGTTAAGTGTCTTGCTCAAGGACACATCTACATGCGACTAGCGGAGCCTGAGCTGGGGATTGAACCGCCGCTCCTCTGATTGAAGGGCGGTCCTGCTCTCCACTTAGCCACAGTCGCCCAATACAAAGCAGGTGTTAATCAAAGAGTCTCCATCCATAGCTATAGAATCAAGGACAAGGACTTGTGCATTCACTCAGTGTGTGTTTTATGTTTGCCTTCTGATGTCAGGACTGTTTCCTACCAATTAAGAAATAATTTGGACGCATTTATGCCGTCACATTCTTGTAAAGAAGAGGTAACACAGAGCAGGCCAACAGCACAGTGAGGCAGGTATTTACCAGAGACCTTGGGCCAGATTCTCCCGCAGCACTAAGCTCCTCATCTCTTAAGGGCTTTAGAAGAGCAGGATCTGACCGGGGGCCGTGGGAGGCTGTATTTCTGTATCGGAGAATCTAATCCAATTGCCTTCAAGATCAACTCCCACACAGCTGACGAGGCTGAGAGAAGCCTCCAGCAATGTTCACCTCCAGCTTCAGCAGCATGTTGTGGCATTTACACAAGGTCAGGTGGCATTTACACAAGTCAAGATTGAGAGCTCTATTTCTGTGAAGATCACAACTAAGTGCACCTTTCATCCTCAGAGGACACGTCTCGAGAGCAGAAGATGACTCTTTATGCATTGAAGTCAACTCATGAGACATATTGAAGATGATTGTCCTCACAATGATTAGTACAATAACCATCTGCAGTTAAATAACCACAAATAAACCATTCTATCAAAGTATAATTCAAATGTGGTCGAGTTTTTCTAAATAATGTCTCGTTTTATGTCTGAAGTCATTTGTAGAGTTTACTTGTAAACATTGTTGATGATCTGGGAACAGAAATTGTTGCCTCTTTAATCTTCATACTGCGACATAAACGTGATCCTGGTAATAATCCACAAATTCATTTTACACTTTGTCCCACCATGTTGCTCATCACAGCCACATGTTTATCTGTTATGTTATCATCAATTCATATCTCCGGGCAGCGCTTGTTTAAAAGGAAAGGACGCCCCGGTTACCAGATGTGATGGAACCACCAGGGGAGGCCCGGCAGGAGCCGACGGTCCTGATGGAGTCATTAGAGGGCCAAGTTTTAATTGATTATAATTGTTCACTGTATGAACTGTTTCCAGTGTCCGTCTCCAACACACCTGTTGATCACACTGCAGCAGAAGTGATGCTGTTGAGAGGCTCAAAACAGGAGGGTACCAGTTCTGAAAGGGAGACAACGTTTTAGGGCCAAACCAGGCCAAAAGGGAATAATGTATTTCAAAAGTTACATAGTATTCAAGGTTAAAACTGTTTAAGGTTTTAAGGTTAATTGTATGATTTTTGAAGCCTCGGATTCGGTGATTTCGCCATCGCCATCTTGGCAACCAATGAACAGAAGTTACTCTATTTGGATTGAGGAGGAGTGACGTAGAGACTCCGTATACGTCTCTGGTAGAGACCTGTCAATCACTGTGTAGCCCCGCCCTAAAGCATCCCCTGCTTTATGGTCTGTGTGACTCTAAATGGACCATAATGTACTAAATGAACATCATGCTGTATTGAAGAAGACTTGAAACTAGAGATTGAGACCATAAACTCATGTTTACAATGTTTACTGAGGTAATAAATCAAGAGAGAAGTAGAGTCATTCTCTCATAGACTTCTATACAACCAGAGGAGTCGCCCCCTGCTGGTCACTAGAGAGAACGCAAGTTTTAAGACACTTCCACATGGCTTCACTCGGCAGAACCGGAGGTTGCAGCCTGGTTTGTACCAGTTATGACACATGAGAGAACATAAACAGGCCAGGTTGGATTCAATGTGAAATCCCTCCCATCAAATCGTATCTATGTAGTGTTACTCTGTCAACGTTAACAACCCCAAGCAGCATTTGTATTTAAATACTCAAACAGGTCCAACACCCACTCACTCACACATTCTGAGATATTAGTTATTATTATATTATCATATTGAGTATGCACACATACTGTATTTTTACAGCTTCTTCAGATCCGGAACAAATGAATATGATCAATACAAGTATTATATAGATGGGTATTTCGTATTTGACTTATAATCCAGAAGGATGCTAATGCTGCTCTGCTGCTACAGCGTTACGACATAACATCAGAGTGTGTTCACAGCTTGTTCTGCTGCCTCCAAGTGGACAAATAATGAATACAACTGTTTGGTGTCTCCACTGTAGGAAACACTTCCGTTTCTGTTTAAAATCTTCAGTACAGTTGTGTGAGTAATATTTTGAAATGTATGGGCACATTGTGTCACATTTGACAGCCAATAAATATATTTTAACTAAATGTGACGCAATGAAGACCTTGTTGATGATAACCATGTGATTTGGAGAAATGACCAGTGGGCCCTAATGAGGATGACGTCATCATACCGGTATTAGTAGCTGAGCTGCAGCTCTTCGCGCTAAACACTGATGATAACCTCCGTGTTTACCTCCTTGTTGTAGCTCTGGAGAGCCGCTAGAGCAGCGTCCTGCTCTCCCGTCTCCATCTGCTCTATGGTGCCTTTTAAATCCATGTTCATCGCCGTTAAGATAGCAGCAGCTTCCTCCTGAGTCCTCCGTGCGTGTGTGTGTGTGTGTGTTGGTCACTCAGGTTGTATGTTCACGCTACAGTTCGTCACCGCCCACAGATGACCGCATGATGCCGGGATCCCAACGATTAACGGACAGGTTTAGCGCGAGCCAAGTGCTGCGTTCAGGTGTCCCAGGGAAAGAAGGAAGGAATGGTGACATGTTGGAAATGTAGTTAATAACAGCTTTCGGATGGTAGGCTCTCTTTGTATGTATTTATTAATGTATTATTAGGATTATTATAAGGAAACCCCTTTAGAAAGTTTGTATGTGTTTAAAATACTTCCTCATGTCTACTACTTTACAATGGGCGTTTCTACTCACCGTGTAAAATGTCATTTTAATACATTTTTCACATTAGTGATTGCTTTAAGCACATTTGTGTTAATTATACTTACTTCATCTGGAAGCATCTCACATGTAATATATATGTTTTTAAATGGCTCGTGACACCACTTATATTTATTGATGATAATTATTTTTTTAAATATTTATTTATTACTGTATTAATATTCCTCCAGCTCTTCTGTCTACATGCCATCGCCTCTTAATACAACCTCAGTGGCTCTTCTGAAATCAAAGCTCCCCACTGTCTCCGTCTTTCCCTTAAGTTTTTGATGGGAAAAAATCACATCTTGCATCTTATTCACCTCGTATCATTATATTCCATATATCATTTGATATATTGTTCAAGAGTTTGTGCCTCTTGTAAAAAAATATTTTCCTCATGCCTAAATTTATAAAAATGATCTCAGTCCTGACTGTCAAAGTTCTCACTTCACTTCATTTCTTTTTACAGCATTTACACATGTCACACAGAGGGACGAGCACATGCCACACAGAGGGACGAGCACATGCCACACAGAGGGACGAGCACATG